CCCCCCCCCCCACACACACACACACACATACGCCTTGCCAGGTAGGCAGGCTAGATTTGGCCCAAGCCGTCTGCTCCAGCCTAGAAGGGAGGTGTGCTTTAGCACCCCTGTGCTTCTGGCCTGGGCCACTGCAGGCATATGGCTGCATATCTGGAATCAAAAGTGAATGTCTGTTCACTAGCTTCTTGGTTCAATCTATGCAGCTTAGACTGACCTGCGAAGATTGAATATGTTCAGCCTTAAACTTTTTGACCATCTGTACTTAGCCCAGCTGTTCTCAGAACTACTTGTAGACAGTCGTTTCCCCTGTGACTGTACTGTTCCAGTGATAGCACTTTGATCTGTGTCCAAAATCCTATTTGGGTAGTATCAGAAAGTAAGCGGATACCGTCAATGAAATGCAACATCATCACAAAATTAGGACCTCTATTCCAAGGACAGCTTTTTGGCTGTCCTGTAATGTTTTCTGTAGCATCTGTTTCCTGTGAGAGCAATTTGAGGATCAACCCTTTACTTTCCTCTTTTATTGTTGATGTGCTCTTCTTTTATAGGTATATATGTACATAGCTTCAGATGCTATAGGCTTTTTAATAAATACGCAGTGATTCTGATTCTGGGCTGAGTGGCACCTCATCAAGAATAATTATACAGTGAATTTTTTTCATTACACTTGCTAATGGTATGCCAGTTTGGCTGATACTGCCTTGCTGCGTTCTGATTCCCTTTGAGAAGGTTGCCACATGCTTAGCCTACAAGATGCCAGCATGTAAATGTAAGTTTTGGTCTGAGACGTCAAATGTACCAAAGGGAATTAAGTACCCAAGTTTCACCAGATTTCTTTAGCATCTGAACACCGAATTCCTTCAAGGTCTTTTTGGAGATCATGATCTGTATATTTTTAAACTTCTACTTAGTAATGTTCTGAAGAAAACTCACTAGATAAAGCAGGAGGCTGACTGCCAACCAAATCCCAGTCCCACAAGAAGTAAGAACATAAGTGCCATACTGGGCCATAGCAATGGTCCATCTAACCCAGTACCTATGCCTCAAAAGCAAACCTCAAAAGCATAATATTTCCCTGTCACTATAATCAGAAGTTCTCCCTCCACAGCATTCGCATCAAACTGGGTATCTCTAGAGACTATGCCCTATTCGATACCTTCCCTGGCACCTACAGTTTTTGGTTTAGAGATGTCAGAGAAAACATCTCCAGGAATCAGAGGCATATGCGGAGAGAGAAATGTACAGCCTTATAACTGTTCTCTACCCTAGACATATATTTGGATTTCTTACAACTTGTTCCTGTCTCCCCTGTTTCACTTTACTCTGAATGTAAACATGATAATTAATACCAAGTTTGATACAGACTCTCTATATTGCCTGAAGAAGGGTATTTGTACCCAAAAGCTTGCAAAGAACAATTTTTCCAACTATTTAGTTGGTGTAATAAAAGATATCACATCTATCAAAGAACCTTGCCTGCCTGTATTCTTAGACCAACATGGTCACAACTAACAACCCTAAAGTTTGACAGTACAAATGAATCATTTTCATGGTTCTTTTTAATCTAATGGATGCACTTTAGTTAATGTATAATATAAACCGCTTCCTAAACTTATTCATGTCAGGCCATCTGCCAGTCAAAAGTGGAAAAATGAAGTTGTGTGTCACAGCACTAGGGTCCAGGAGTTTTGAATCCAGGTCACCAAGGACCATTAATCATTTGGATACATTACTCAGTACAATATGGAAGAAAAAGTAGCTCCTTTTCTGTTTTGTAGAGATGGAAAACTACAGGGAGTGGAGAAGATGCACTTTTAGACTCTTGGGTCTACATCTGGGGCATATCTAGACGCGAGAGTATGTTTATTAATGGAGTATACAATACTTTGTGCATTACTATAAATGGTGTGAGCTGTGCTATATTAGACCATAACACTGTCAACTCTTCCTAAATTATCCAGTTACATCTGTACCCTGTAATTTTCAAACAAAAAGGACTTGCTTAAAGTTTTCATTTTTCACTTATTGCAGTGCCAGCACTTCAAACGTTGCAAGAATAGAAGAGATGGAGAGACTTTTGAAACAAGCTCATGCTGAAAAAAACCGACTGCTGGAATCCAGGGTAATTTTAAGAATGTATAGGACAGGAAAATTAGCAGATGCTCTTGTTCTTATCATACACATTTCATTTTGTCATTTATATTTTAAGAGCTTTTGTTCAACAGACCTGTACATAATTCCTCCTCTGCTTCTCCCATAATTATCCCACTTCCACCCCACCACTCTAAAAACCTGTACCAGCAGTAATCCGGAATCTTTGTAGATGAGGACTGGAGGCAACTTAATAATGTTCTGCCTTCATCTGCTAGATGCTGATGAGAAGCACTTGCTTGTCCCATCCCTCTAAGATCCTAGCTAGTCCAGAAGCAAGAGACCAGCCCCAGTGATTGAACCAGTGTGCCTCAAATGGCAGGACACTTTTGGCAGGTTAATCTGAGTGCTGAAATCATTTGGACCTTGTCAACCAGTTGAGTGTTTCTAACACCAGTATGTAGGATGAGGAGTGGAGTCTAGTATGAAGAAATTATGTTGTTCAGATGTAGTTTAAATATAGCTCAGTTCTTTAAATAGAAAGTTACTTTCTTCTATCACACTATTTAATATAGCTGTGCCTATACTGTTATTAGAATCAGGTAGCTACTAATAAATGCCAGCAGAGTCTAAGCACAATCATCATTAACATGGACTTTGATATTTACCTATTTGAGAACTGTGTTGTATTGAATTTATGCAGTAAACTTTACTCCTCAAGTCTCCAGTTGTCCCCCTACCCCCCTTAAAATGTCACTGTTGTCTTGGATCTAGTCTATGTAGATCACCTATGTTAATTAGTTATCTGCAGGATTCTAAGTCTTATGCCCTAAGTTTTGTTTTGGGTCTTTTTTGTCCAGGAACTATATAGGTATACTATCCCCAGTGTCTGCCCCTCCCCTCTCAACACGAACCTCCCCTGCCTGCCCCCAGTCACTCAGCCACCAACCCCTACCACCTACTTCCCGTACTACCACATGCCATGGTCCCAGGTGACACTTCGTTAGGTGCCACATTGATTCCTGGCTTAGCAGGGAGCCAAGGAGTGGTGTGGGAATTAGCGCAGAGCAAAGGACAGCAAGACCCTCACTGTTTTCTGGCTGTGTCCTGTGTCCTGTTGCTCTCCAGCCCCCTGCTGAGCCAGGGAGCAGCAGGGGAATTAGTATAGAACCAGAGAGCAGCAAGGGAATGCTATTCTCAGATCTCAGGCTAGATGCAGCTAGGAAATGCCACTCACAGATCTTGGGCTGCTCTCTGGCTCTGGGCTGATTCCCCTACTGCTTCCTGGCCCAGCTTGGAATCAGGAATCAGCCCAGAGGCAGAAAGCAGCGCAGGACCCAGCTCTGCCTGCGGGTACTTCATTTTAGGATGAAGTTTCATTTTTCCCTGTGAAAAAATGGGGAAAAAAACTTGTCTTAGAATTGAGTAAATATGAGTAGGTGGTGTGTGTATGTGTGCATTTATATGTATATATGTGTTTTTTTTCTCCTTGAGAGTCACAGAAGAGTTTATGGGAGTTCTTAGTGGGCATGTCTAGTGCACATTTACCACACAGTAACCAAAATAACTGCTGAGTAGGGGCATGCTTGTACACATGCACACCCATACTGCACAGTAAATATGGCAATTTATGCCCAATTAGTTATTGTATAGTAACGTTGTGTATGGATTGACTTGGGAGTGACTTTAGTCCCAAGTCAGTCCACACACAGTGTTAATGCGCTTTAACTCTTGCACATGTAGACACCAGCCTATTCCCATTTACTGCGCAGTAAATTTAAGATAGCATAAATACGTGTGTAGACACGCCCTGTAGGATCAAATTGTTTTTAATGTTTAGCAGGTATAATTTTACCTGGCCTGAAACTGACATTTCCTTGTGCTATGATATGTAGGAAAGGGAAATGGAAGCTAAAAAAAGAGCACTGGAAGAAGAAAAACGTCGCAGAGAACTACTAGAGAAAAGATTAGAAGAAGAAACTAGTCAGCGACAAAAATTAATTGAAAAAGAAGTCAAAATACGTGAGAAACAAAGAGCACAGGTATGCTGTTTATCATGTATGGCTGTATAACATGGTTCTGTCTATATAGATAGCAAATTTACATGGCAAACTTCTACAATAATGAAAAGGAGGAAAGGGGCTTCTGAAGGTGGCTGGCTGGCTGGCTGAATTACTGTTAAATTGATTTACAGTTAGGGTGGCCAGAATCTGGAACCAGCTTCCCAGGGAAGTGGTCTTTGCCCCTACCTTGGGCAAATTCAAGAGGAGGTTGGACAATCACCTGCCTGGGGTCTTGTGAACCCAGCATTTATCTCTGCCTGTGGCAGGGCGTCAGGCTAGATGATCTGTTCAGGTCCCTCCTGACCCTAGCTACTATGAAACCCTAGCTACTATGAAACTAAAGAACTTCTCATGTAGTGCAGTTCATTTCCATCCTTGCCACTTCTACCTTTTTTAAGGTAATTTTACTTTGCATTTGTACAGTACTTCCCATAACTGTGTTCCAAGTACTTGAAAAACAATAATGGGAGATACTTGAACTAACTCATTTATAGATAGGGAGAGAATGCAGCACAAGTTAACTAACTTATGTCAATTCACCCAGATAAATTTAGTTGTTCCCCTCATCCTCGCCCCCCACCCCCCTCCCAAACTGCTTCCGGCATCGTATTTACTTGAATCCAAGGTGAGGTTTATTTTTCCCTTTCAACGTGGGAAAGAGATGGCCTCACATTAGATCAGGGGAGAAGAGGAAGGAGGCAGATGGCTGCTGCAGCTCCAGCTTCAACCCCAAACCTGGATTGGGGCTGGAATTGGAACCACAGCAGTCTCTGCCTCCCATGTCTCCCTACACCCACCCTCCCCCACCAACCTCTGCCTCCCCTCTGCCACTTATTGTCTGTCACAGCTCCAGCCTATTCTGGCCTGGGGCATGGAGCACATGGAATAGGGCCACCCATCAAAACTGACAGTATGCAACAGTGGGGCAGGTTGCAGGGAGCACAGGCACCAGGGGGCGCAGGTACAGAGAGGACAGGCAAGGCATGGGGAGGGGGATGCAGTGGATGCAGGCACCATGGGAGGCAGGCAACACAGGGGACAAGTGGTGGGGCGGCGGGGAGCAAAGAGGTAGAGGTCAGGCCACTTGCCCTATCTGCCCCTTACCACTCCCCCCACCCCCTTTCTCCACTACAGCAATGGTAGGGGGCAACTTATGATGACTCTCCCTCCAGTAATTAGATTCTACATATGGAAAATTATAACACATCTTACATGCATAGAATCTAATTATTGGAGCTTGTCTTAAGTTCAGATCATCTTGGATTCAGGTGAATGTAGTATTTATACCTATAGATCTGCACTTTAATCCCCAAACATCCTTGTTTTGCTTTGGTCTTCATCTTAGCAATTTACTTACCTGATGATTCCAAGCAACCACTATTCTTTCCTGATGAATTTATTCCTATTTAAGCATGCAAGACATCATACAGTTACTCATTGCAAGCATCTCAAGCCTCTGTTCTTTTAAGAGTATATAAAGCTGCAACATAGGAGTTAGTTTTCGCTACCTTCATCCTTTGATATTTTGTGTTGCTTTCATGTTTACCTGTTTACAGCAGGTAAGAAGGAAAAAAAAAGATACAAGATATAGATTTATTCTTTTCTGCTCTGTGGCAGGCCCGTCCCTTAACTCGCTATTTGCCAATTAGAAAGGAAGACTTTGATCTACGAAGTCACATTGAAACAGCTGGACACAACATTGAGACCTGTTACCACATCTCACTGACTGAGAAGACGTGCCGAGGCTTTTTGATTAAGATGGGAGGAAAAATTAAAACATGGAAAAAACGATGGTTTGTTTTTGACAGAAACAAGAGAACATTTTCATATTATGCAGGTAGGTTTGGGGCTTATACCTCTAGGACTGATTGTTAGAGGACCATTCTTCTGTTGTCATGCAGGGTGGTCACATCATTTTCTTAATTTTATTGATTTGTATTTGTTGTTCATGTTGTGGATACTTGGAAAGTCTGTGGTCAGAATAGGATCCCATTAAATTAGTAAGCATGGTGTTATGCAACCACAGTTGACTTATTCCTTTCCAAGCAAAGGAATATCTTGGATAAAACAGGACATCTCCACTTCTTCATGGGACACTTAATTAACAGCATGTATTGTTGTATGCACAAGGCATATAGTGTGAATTAAAAACAAACAGGAATCTTATCAGGGGATAAGACACAATGCCACATTTATTGAAAACAAGACAAGCAAAATTAAGAAAAATAACCAAAAGGTGGTGTTTCTTCTTTCATACACTCACACATACATACTCATACACTCACGTACATACCCATTTATTCACGTACATACAAAAAGAGACAGACAGTCCTGCAAATATTAAGATATTACCAGTCCTTAAAATGCTCAGGTTAGCTTGGTGGCCAGCCAAGTTAACCACAAGAATGAAGCCAGGCCTTTTTGGACATGTACCGCTGCTGCTGCTGCTGCTGCTGCTGCTGCTGCTGCTGCTGCTGCTGCTGCTGCTTCTGTGCAGGACAGACCCAAAGCCTCTTTGTTCTTGTCCATCTATATAGTGATTGTTCCCCATATAAGTTTATGGGTCTTGCTGTGTCACATCCCCTCAATGACAAAATGATCCTCCTCTTCTGTTGTGATATAATGATTAACAGACTCTTCAGGCTTTGTGGTCTGCAATTTCTTCCATCTGTTGTCAGCAATTTCTTCAGCCATTGGAACAAAACATGATCTTGCATTTTGTAATTTTTAACTGATGCTCTTGGACATTGTAACCTTTGACTGTTAAATCGCAGAAGGCTATTTCTATCCTTCTAGTCTGAGGTACAAGACAGACTGTCTCAACATATGCATTTCCACATGTACTGTTTATTCTTTCGTTACCTCTTTTCAAATGTCCCAGACATACACGCTATATTATGTCTCTTATACTATATATAACGTACAAAATCATAAAACAAAATGACTGTTACACTTACGCTAAGCAATGTAAAAATCAAAAGTCTCAACTAGGGCTAAATTACAGAGTTATTTGAGCAAACTAAAATGGATATTGGTTACACAATAGTCAACAAAACAATAAAGGATGTTTATAAGGGCAATATTAAGAGTAAATAAAGACAAATTAACTTTAGCTCAACAGTATTTAACGTTGTTTTAACATTGGTGCTGGAAATTTTTTTTTTCCAAATTGTGCAGTCTATCTTTTGGAAATAATTGGTGCCTGTATTCATTAAATGTCCAGAAAAATTCCATAAGGTTTACAGCAGTAGTTGATATAAATTATGAAAAATGCAAACTTTAATTTTACTTTTCACAATATCTGGTTTATTCATTAGCAAAGGACTGGATATAGTGCAGTACTCCCATCTGGTATTGATTTTTAAAAAGTAGTTAGTTTAATAGATACCAGCTTCAGTTTTGAGTGCAGTACAGCTGCTATAATATAATTTCAGTTAGCAAAAAAAATCTTGACATAGTCATAGACATCGTCTTGAGGATTTGAGCCATCAAACATTTCATTCAAATTTTATACCAGCTAAGCAGAAATGCAGCTGTGGGTATGAGGTAGAAGCTGTGGCTCAAAAAAACATTTTTTGCATTTCAAAATATAAATATTTATGCTATAAATTTATAGTATATGGCTTTCACGTAATCCCATCTTTAGGACTCCAAGTATACTGAAAAAATAATAGACACCAAAACCTTCAACTTAGCGCAACAAGTAAAATGTGTTTATTTCCTGACTTGAAAATGATACAGAACTTTACTGGGACAGAGATTATGCATGCATAGTTTGAACCTTAGATATTTCATTTTCAGGGTGACGTTTGTCCCAAAACTATGAGAACGGTTTCTGTACTCTAAGGCAACAAGTGTTTACAAAGCCAGACTTAAAGCTTCCCATTTAGGGCAAAATTGCAGGCACATGTAATACACCTTACATGTCCTGTGTGGTTGTGTCTTCATATATGACAGGAATAAATTACAAAACAGAGGCCATTAGGGCTGCATCCACATGAGCACGAACGTTTGGTTCTCTGGGGACAACTAGGAGAGGGACACGCCTGTGCCACACGCCCTCTCAAGTGTGGCAGGTTACCTTGGCTGGGGTAGGGAAGGCTGGGACCAGCATTAGGTGGCTCCACCAGCCTTAAATGGAGCCCTGGGGGCCTCCTAGGGCTGCAGCAGCAACAATCCTGCCACTCAGAGCCTGGCTGGCAGACAGAGTGTGGCTCTGGCTGGCCAGGCTTTGGTTTTAAGTGGCATGCATTGCCCCCATGTGTGCCACTTCGGGTTTTTGGTATTTTTTGCACAGGGTTTTTGACCCCTGGATGTCCAGTAGAGTCAGTAGTGAGGAGAATAGCTGAATATGTGGTATATGGCATTGCAGATGTGTGCACAGCGCCACATACCACATGGCTGTGTTCATCTGAATATGACTTTGGAGAAAATCTGTGGTGAAAATCCAGACTGTTTTCTTTTTAAATTTTTTTTCCATATTTAATTCTGCTTATTAAAGTGACACAAAACACTAAACCTCTCTTTGATCTCTCTTCCTGCCACTATTACTACAGTAGTGTTTCAGAATCACCTGAGTCCTGTTTATATCACTGTTGACTAAAAAGACCAATTTTTGTTTTAAGCTTTAGAGGTTTCACAAACAGGAAGGATGTTTTCAAATTATGAAAAGTACTTGGAATTTTCTTTTAAAAACAGAATTGCTAAGTGTCAGTTTTCTAAGATTTTCTCTTTACTGCAGCAATTTTGGCAGTTACCTTGCTAGTCTACAATAAATAGTCTATTCAAATAGGGAGGATAGGGTGGGGGTGCTTGCCCCGTCACTGTGACTTGCTGAGTGACCATACACAGCCTTTTAACCCTTCAATCATTCTGGTTTATTATTCATGTCAGTTTTCAAAACTCTGTCATTGCAGACAAACATGAAACTAAATTAAAAGGAGTAATATATTTCCAAGCCATTGAAGAAGTCTATTATGATCACTTAAAGAACGCTTATAAGGTAAACTTTATTACTGTTGATTTTATTTTTTTTATCATTCAGTAACATCTAAAATGCTAGTAGCTATATAGCTATAAGAATACACATGCCCTGCAAGCTGGCAGTTTTAATAACAACAACAACACATATATACACGGTGCAGAAGGATATAGATGGGTGCAGACTGTGTGGCCGAATGACTGGTACATTTTATCTTGACAGTCCCGTGTAAAATGACACAGGAAATAGAGAGAGTTGATCTGACAAGGGATGCGGTGATATTGGGGCACAGGGCTGGGAAGCAGCTGCCCTGGAGAAAGGACAGTTTTCCCATCCCCTGCTGTCTGGGCTGACCAGGAGCAATTTGCTTCTGGTCAGCAGTCTGTACATGTGCTACTGTGCAGTAGTTACTGCATGATTAATCTACTACCTGTGGGCATTTATACATGTGTTCTGGGAGGCACAGAGGTGCACTTTAGTTAGAGAAGCTCTGAGAGTTACTCTAATTAAAGTGCCCAGAGCATCACGCATATCAGCATCCCTGTGCTGAAATATGGCAGCAGGGGGCTTTAACCAAAGCTTGTCACTGGAACCTCAGTGCACATGTATAGGTGCTATGTATTTACAAGTAGTAGGCAACCATACAGTAGACTAATCTACTGTGCAGTAAATGCTGCGAATGTGTAGACAGTGGCGCTTTACTGCACAGTAAAGTATAATATGTAGATATGTCCACAGAGTATCTGCACACTCACTCCCAACACATCTCCATCTCCCCTACACATAGCAGGAGCTAAGCAAATCCTAAATAAGGCAGGACCTAATACATCTTTTTTTCTAGTATCTGTAACTTGATTTCATTTAATCGAGCTTTTACCTTTCTCTTTTTTCATTTTTTTTTGTTTTTAGAGTCCTAATCCACTACTCACTTTCAGTGTTAAGACACATGACCGGATATATTACATGGTTGCCCCAACACCAGAAGCCATGAGGATATGGATGGATGTAATAGTTACAGGAGCAGAAGGCTACACACATTTCATGTTATAAAATCAAATAACAGCTCATTCATGGGACATACTGCAATCATCTTATGCATTTAGCCATATGCAATCGAAATTTGGTATTTTTCACAAGTATCCTCCCTATGATGTGCATGCAAGCTCTGAAAATGAAAGGGTTTATGAACGCATTGAAAAGGGGGACTGGTTGCTTACTTTAGTTGCTAATTATAGTAACAAAAGAACTGAAGTTGTAGAAGGATCATTGTGCACCCACATGGATAACCAAGTTGACTTAAACATAGTGTTTTGATTCAATGGTTATTTCTTACAAATTCTCCTACACAGAAAGTGTGCTTATAAACTCATACTAAACAGTTTACAAAATGGTTTGTGTGTGCTCATTGATATGCAAATGTTTTAGTAATGGAACAGAAAGGTATAATAGCATATATTTTAATATGCAGTAATTGACATTTATAAGTGATTAGCTGACTTTTTAAATTTCTTTCACTTAAGTATTTTTTAATAAAAAAGTAGCCCGACAGTACATGCAGTTCTTACCTTAGCAATTAAGTGTATTACTACCAAGCCAAAGATTTACGTGATTCCTCTTCAGGAACGATTTCAAATTATTAGCTGCGTGTTAGCTTTGTGTAGTGGAACAATGCCATTTTCCCCTAAATGTTAATATAATTCTATTGCTACAGTATTTTTAAATTACCAGTGGCACAAACTGTATGCATAAAGCCACTTCAGCTCAGGAACAAAAAGCAGCAGTGTAACTTCATAGAACAAGGTAAAATTGAACTGAAACAAGAATATCAGATAAACTAGAGGCTTTCTGAGCTCCATATGCTGAATACACTGTGTTGATTCTTTGTCTGGATCTTTAAGCAATTTTGGTCTCATACAACTAAGTCTTGCTATCAATATGATTCTAATCCAATGGTTCTCAAGCTTGTTAGACTCAAGGCACCAGTCAGAAAATGCCAGCTCTTACCTTTCACTAATTTTTTGACTATGGAAAAATGACAAGATCAAAGAACTCAGATCATAACAGGTCATCATGTTTTTGACACTGTGGATTCCTGTGTGAAAACTGAGTTTATCATGTAAAACATGTGTAGGTTTTTGCACACCCAACAGTACTAATAATGTGCAGCACCCCTAAAAGCATCTTAGAGCATCCCATGGTGCTACAACACCCTCACGTAGGTTCTTAGACAGAGTGCAGGACCTCCATCTAACCCAGGAGGTGCACAGCCCCACCAGGGGGGACACCTTGTTGGACCTGGTGCTGGCCACGGGTGATGACCTGGTGAGGGGGCTGCGGGTGCTCGACCACCTGGGCGACAGCGATCATCGCCTGCTGGAATTCACCATCCAGTGCAAGGTGGCAAGGGCATGCAGTAAGGCAGCGGCCCTAGATTTTAGGAGGGCAAACTTCAACAAGCTAAGGAGGATAGTTGGAGAAGCGCTGAGG